ATTAAAATTGTACACTGTCAAACGGGAACTTTTAATATAAATCGAAAAACGACTTGTTGTTTGTCTTATGCGATGTGATCGAGCAGGGAGTATTCTTTAATTTCTAAAACAATTTTTTTTATTATATTTTTTTATTTTATTTTTTATTATTTTATTATACTGATGGCGTCAACCACGAATATACGCGTGGTTCTTTAGGTTTTATCTCCTCTCCTCTCCCCTTTCTTCCTTAGTTCAAACACTAAGTTTAGCAAAAAAAAAAAAACTTTTTAAAAACTAAAAAATAGTTTATGTATTAGCCGAGAATTGTAATTGTGTTTTGATTTTCCCTTTTTTTTTTTGTCTGGAACCTAAATATGTTTTAAACCGCTGAACCGATTTCTTCAAGTAGCAACTCTATAAATCAGAAATTGCATCTGAAAGGCCAAATATTTTAAAAAGTCAACCCTTCCCCTTCAAAATAGAGGAAAATCCCAAAAAGATTTACATATTTTTCAACTTAGATTTACAGCGCTTCATAACTTTATTAAAAATAGTCCAATTAGTTACAATGAAGTATAGAATATTCTTAAGACAATATAGTACAATATCACAATCCCTTTCCCGTAAAATAGATGGTATTTTTTTTTGTTCATTTCACTTTTACAAGTTTTAGGGATTTTAGTCTGAAAATTAGCAAAAGGTAGATCTTGAATTAAACTATGACGTATACAATTTTCCGAATAATAATTGTTATTATTGGTATTTATTATTTTATTTCCAAACTTACCACACCATACTTTATACTTACTATACCATATTTATTACAACTACTCACTTACGTATAATACTTTCTTATTGTGGTTGCTTTATACTAGATTGGTTTTAAGCTACTATCCACCGATTTATATCAAAGTGTTAATTGGAAAGTAATTTTATCACTGCTTGTCGTAATTATTTATACAGATCTGTGAGTTCCTCTCACCTTTATATGCTACGACCTTAATGTATTTGTTCAATGTATTATTAAACAAATCAAAATTGACCAATACAAAATATTATTCTATCATAAATAACTAAAAGTTTGAAGTTTTTTTTTAAACATATATTTGGAATTGTAATAGTCAGTTAATAATTATAAAATGGAATTTTATAGCTGTACAGATTTTGTTATTTTATAAAATGTATTTGACAAAAGCTATTATAATAAATTGCGAATAACTGTTGCGGCTTTGGATGAGGTGTTTCGAGTTCTATGTTGGCTGGATTTTCAAATATTCTTAGACAGATAATTCGTTTTATAGTATGAATTTGTTTAAATTTTCTTGGAATTCGCTACGGTACGTACGTATTACGGGTTAAGCCATGAGATCTCTTAAGCACGAGTCGACGGTAGAATCTATCTCATCTTTAACTTTTGCCATTACGTCGAGAGGCAGATGTTCTACAAGCATTTCCTCGATGTATCGCACAATTCCGGCAATTTTACCATCTTCATTCGGTCTGCAAAAGTTATTATAGAACGTACCTAAGCTTTGTAAAGCGGTGTCTATATTATTTTCGGTAGAATTGATTATTAAGTCGTGGTAAGTTTTGTCGCGTGATGTTTCTTCGAAAAACAAGGTGCTGTAGAACCACTTGAATTCTTCCAACGTTTCGGACACGTCATTGTCGTACGTTGTTATTGGGAATTCATTGTTAATTAACGAGAGGTTGGCCAGAACGAGCACCACCATTTCGTCGATTTTTTTGATCATTTTCCTAAATATGGTTATACATACCGCGGTTGTGGTGGGATTTTCAATGTCTTTACACGCGAGTACTGCGCCCAAAGTGTCACGGTAACAAATGTTTAGAGTGCTGGCATACTGACAGCTGAATAGCTGATGTGCTTGACGGATTTTACAACCCGCGTTACTGACGGTGACTAGTTGGGGGCCGCGATTGCTGTCGGTTTCTAGTATATCTTTGGCGGTCAAAACTTTGCCTTCTTCCATCCACGGCACGACTATCGTGTAACCATCGTTGGAAAAATTAAACATAATATTCAAAGCGTCCACGTGGTACGGCGTTACCGGAACTGCTGCTGATACCAAAGCGGACATGTAAAGCGTAAGAAAAATTGGAAAAAAACCACGTCCGGCTTTCATTTTTTCGTTTACGACGATCACAGCGGTCTTGAAGTACATGCTTGACTAATATATCCGTTGCAGAAAAATGTACACCGGCGATTTATTAAGAGCCGGACAAAGGAAAATTGAGAGATATCAAATTCGTACTGCGGTATGTACAAACGGCGAAAATACTGTATGTGGTGAACAACGACGATGATAGACACCGGTTAAAACTATTTTTGATACGCGTCAACCGGGTTCACTACACATTATGTATTCAGATGTTGTTTTGAGCTTGAAATAAAAAAAACACAAAAAATATTATTGTCTAAAGTGTATTTTTTTGTTTACAACCCGTGCAGGGCCTTCGCTGCTTTCTTTTATATTTAAATCATGAAAAAAACCTGAAATATGCGAAACAATTATTTTTGAAATTGCATTCTTTCAAATGTAATTCACAGCTTATCTAGCAATTTTTTGGACCATTCAGTTGAACATGCAAATGCACGAACTTCTAGGCCCATTAACACTTTATATTAGGATATCCAAGTACCCCAGAAAGGCTGGAATGTGTCATGTTGTAAGCACCAATCGACGGACAATCACTACACTGGCCAGTAGTGCTATGACGTAATGAACTCACTCAAGTATCGATGAAGTTTTATTAAATTTTCCGTTTTTAAGTAATATGAGCCCAACTCGAAAGTCGGGCATTAGAAAAATTATTCATCTAGACTCCTTTGAGTGCTCCCCTCCACGGAAAACTTTAGTAAAAGGCGAAAGATTTATTCGTATTGAAAGGGAACCGGAGTTGGACGATTGCCGGGCAATTATCAGTACTTATGCTCTGACGGGTGCGGTCGACCCGTCGAGTGAACTCCCCCATGACCTTGTGTCATTCGACAGGGACTGACGGCCGACAAACGTTTTTTTCCAGTATTCGACTAGTCCGCGAGTCGATGAAATGCCGCAGAATTCAAACATTTTACATTTTACGAGATTTCCAGTAAACTTTACCCGAATTTCCATGGGTGCTCGTTGGGAATTTTGATGGAAACTCCCAATGGCGCCATCTACCGGCAAGATAATAGATACCGAGTTTTCGCCGCCGCCGCATTGACATCCTACTTTCAGTTCTAGAATTTTTATTAATTATTGATTTACCAAAACAAAATGTTTATATGGAAAAAGCAAAGAAGCCATAAGGCCACACAAGTCTCCGAGTACCTATGACATTCTATATGATATGAACGACTGCAAGATATCTAATGTAATATATTTTCTTTCTGAGCCTTATCTCATCAAAAAGCCGCTATAGTAAGTGAGCAATCGGTCGCAAAGCATAGCGTTGTGCACAATGTGAAAGATTTACATCTGTGACATTTATGCTTTTAAGATTGGTACTTAATTATTTTAAAGTAAAATACATACGATTTAGATTTTAAGTGTCTGTTTATCGAGTGTAACAAAATATGACCTAATCTAATAATGACACTTAATTTATACGAATAAAAATATTTACTTGTTTACCAATATTGTTCTCTAAATTATGTAGGTATTGAAAAAAGTTAAAACTACAAAGCTAGATCAAAGATTTAAAACCTTATTTCATACTTTTTGAACTTTATAGAATAGTGGAGTTCACTGATAATATACTCTTATCACAAAATATATACTTTCAAATTTTAGTGCGTGATAATAATATTTTTGTTCTTGATAAATGATAATATAGTTAGTGTTATCCCGATAATATAATACTGAAGATTATAAGACCTTAAGTCATTGTGTATCAATAATTATTAATATAGTAATTTTGTTTACTCCAAAGTGTTTTGTGCAATCTCCACCATAGTCTCCTACAGAAAATATTAATGAAAGATCACCGTCAAAACGTACACCAGTAAAGTCACTTGTTCAACAAAAACTCCAGTAAAGAAGCAAGAATTATTCTAGAAAGCAATCTTCATTCAAGCTGCCAACAGTGAAAATGTTTATTATCAAACCGTCCAACAAACCAACAGCAGTTTCAATGAGTAATTTTGTCGATCACTTTTATGCTACAGAAAAACGGTTAGGATCTCCCGTAACTCTACCTAAGAGCAGAGAAATGCTTTATGAATCAAGTTCTTATGCACAACTTGCTCAATGTGTTGAATTTTTAAGGCCACAATTAAGAAAGAGTTGTTTGATAGTTTGATGACTGATGAGAGTATAAAATGTGCTTTGAAAAAAATAACTTTTTGTGGAACTATGAACTTGGATAATAACTTCTCAGGCTAAATTTCCCTCTGCCGTCTCTTCGAGTATTACGTAGAATACATGAAAATATTATACGACAAATATGATAACACATGAGAACTGTTATCTGCAAATTACTATTTCATTCAAATTCAGCAAAATATTGTAGTGAACAAGCATGGATGGACGTTAATTAATTCTACGACTTTTAGATAACCATGAGTATGTGTAATTATTTTGGTACGTATGTACAATATATTTAAATCGATGGTTAATTTTGTAATTGTAACCCAATTCATACAACACAAAAATAATATAAGTATTTATTAAATATAATAAAAATGTTGATCGATTTTTTTTACCTATTGTACATATATGGTTCTGACATTAACGACAAATAACATTTAAATCATCCGACTATTATAATTATTATTGGCTTGATAAAAACTGAAATATATATCACAAAAATGTTAGGTTGTATTTAGTTTTTTTGTATCTTTAATATTATTTTGGTTAACTGGATAGAACAAAGTTAAATACATTTACTTTTATGCCCTTGAAAACTATAAAAAATGGCCCTTATGCTAACAGCCAAATAGACTTTTAACCGCTGAATTATGTATTCAAAGTTCATTACTTATAAATGTATTTACTTTTGAATTTTTTCAGTTACTAACACCAAGGGATTGATACAACAACAACAAGCTTACTACTCAAAATTATTAAAATAGTTTTCATAAATATAATTGAGTTTTAGACTCGCAAGATACATTTGATAACATGAGGTGAATGTATAAGTGTTATTTTTAAATAAAATATATTAAACACTACATACTTTTTATTGTTAATTACATTTTGTATTTACAGATCGATGTTTATGTTTTTTTAACAAAAGACAAGCTTTGCTCAGAAAAACTACTTGATACAGTCGAGAGATATGCGTACGACAAGCCTGACCGAGATGTTAATTTTTATTTTTTTGTTAGTTATTTAGATTGAAATGACTAAAATTATGTAATATAAACATAACATAATAATATCAATGGCATAGTGCACAAGTGTGTTGAATGATTTTTTTTTTGTTATAATTTTAAACATTATTATGTATTTAATGAAGAACTTATGGATGGTTCTCTAGCAGCAGTAATTTTTAGTCAGGCTATTATAGGTAATATATATACAAATAATAATGTTTAATTAGTATTTTAAAATGATTTTTCTTCTAAAACAATTATTTTTTGCTATGATATATTTGACAAGTATTTTTTAAGTAGATAATTTTATACTTATTATGATTATAATTTAAAACTAGTATATATTTTGCGTGGAAAATTTAATATTTAATTATACGTGTTGATTTAAATTGTTTTTTACTGTTACAATATTATTACATGTGAATTTCTCAATCAAAGTTGTTGTTTTCTTTATCTTAACTAAATATAAAAAGTATCAGTTATAAAAAATAGTTAAAACAAAACAAATGTTCAATTATAGTTTATATTAATTTAAAATTGGTAGATATTTTGTCCGACTGTTGCAACAGTATGCAGGTTTCGTTTACTCGCACCCATATCATGTATGTTGTTATCAGTAATAGTGCTATAAGCTTTTGGGAAAAATGATGTATCTATATAATATTATTATGCCTATAAATGTTCATAATTAATTTTAAAAAAATGATCAATAAGACAATAAGCATGTATATTATATATGTTATTTTTTCAGTTTTACACTAGCACACAATTATTTTAAAGACTAGTTTTGGTTCCTACCGTTATTAAGAAAATCCAATTACTTTATATAATATGTAAAAATAATGTAAAATCTTTAAATTCCACTTCCTCTATAGAAAGACCAAAATTCTATTCACCAAGTCTATGCAATTTTTTTCTTCTTTGTTGCTATTTTATTTAGACGATCAACAACTTTATACAAATATATTTTAATTCTATGAAAAACCAATATTTTCAAAAAATTATTATTTTACTATTTTTGTGACCGTTACGATGGTGTTAAACAAAATATATTAAGTCATAATAGAAATGTACAAAGAACTTATATATATTTTAACTGCCAATGGTTATGTACAGAATAATAACCAAGTACATATGTATACATATATTTTTTTAACAGTTAAATAATAATTATTCATAATTTTATAGGCCATAATTCACGGTTTGTTGTTGATCGAAAACTTGTGTTCTGTCTTTTTAATATTAGGCTGCTGCTACTTGATGGCAAACGTTTTGAAAATAAACCATAGCCATTATTTTAAATTTGGTTACTATAGCAAACAGAATTTAAATGATTATAGATTTTAACTTGTCCAAAATACTAGAGGTTTTTGTATTTTCCATAATAATTTTGATTTTGAATTTAAAAATACTATTAGATAAAAACTTTGGAATTTGGCTATCTTAAAATACAATAGAGGATTTTGACGATTGCAAAAAAATTTTTGATTTTGAATTATCCAAAATACAAAAAAAATAGTAATATTGAATTTTTATGATAATTTTGGTTTTACCGGAAAATTTTTAATAATTCAAAAATAGTTTTGGATTTTGAGTTTTTTTAAATACTAGAGGTTTGAGTTTTTTTGAATTTGCATTATTAATTTTGATTTTGAGTTTTCCAAAACGTTATAAGATGAATTTTAACGGCCAAAATAATTTTGAAATTTGAATTTCCCAAAAAACCTAATGTAGGATTTTGACTTTTGCAAAATAATTTTGGATTTTGAATTTTCCCAAATTTTGAAAATAAATATTGTATCACTGCAAGCATAACAGTAGTGCTATCTAACGGATGTACAGTAAAGCAGTAGAGAAGGCGGCTATACACAAATGCGCGGACCGCATTGCCTGCGGCTGCCGGTAGATACCGCTGACGCTGAATTTTTTTTGAGTTTGTGGAATTTTGGCAGGTTTTTTTCAAAAGTTCGATCCAAAATCTTTACGACATCTTTTTGAAACATATTATTTAAATTGTAATTGACATTTACAAGAAATTAGAGCAACTTTTAGCACGTTTTCGTGCATATTTCGAGCGTTTTTGACAATTTTTTCGAGTTTTCCAAAATTATCGTTCTGCGTTTTGTTTGTGCGTTTGTTTTTTGATAAATAGAATGTAGTTTGCCTGCGAAAGTATCGCTTCTCGGCCACCGTAAACCCTGTCTCACGGGCACCAACTTGAGTGAGACCAGATAGGTGTAACGAGGCGCATTTCGCGGCATTCACTTTCAGTGCAATCTGGCCCAGCTGTTCAAATGTTAAACTAATTTTTTCAAATTGGTGGAGAATTTGGGGCTTGCTCCTACTCCACCGCGGGTTGACCCGGTATTGCAGTACCACCGGGAACGGCCCAAATAAACGTCTAGAAAATGCTTTTAAAATATACAAAATTCATTTGTCTAAACATTTGAAAAACCAAAATTATTTTGGAGAAATCTAAATTTGGTTGAAAAAATACCAAATATTATTGGAATTCTCAAAATTAATATGGAAAAGTCAAAATTCCTATCGGGAAAAACCCAAAGTTTTTTTGACTTGTTTACAATCACGATGGACGACTCAAAATTATTATGAAAAGTCAAAATTCATTATATTTTTCGAAATTCCATGTGTACAATACAATCATAGGGTTTGAAAAATCTAAATTTATTCAATTTCGAAAATATTTGTGGACTTGTTTAATATTATGTTCAAATTGCAATGGTTTTTAAAATTATCGCCACCTGCTTAAGCCGCAGTAGCCAGAAATTAAACAATTAAAGACCAGTTTTTTGAAAAATGTCAAATTCCAAACATTATACACCATGGTCACCAAAATACAAAATATACATATTATTAAGTATTTATTTAAAAACAGATCATTAGTAGAAATTTATTATCACTAAATTCAATAAAAAAAAAAAAATTGTCTGTACCTTGTCAAAAATGCCGCCAAGGTAACGAAACATTTTAAATTCCAAAATTCAGTTTTAAAAATGTCCTTTATTCATTTATCGCGTGGTTGTACGATGTAACTTAGTATTTGGTTAATTATTAAAAATTACTTACTTTGCCAGGGCTCTTAATAACAAAAATGCAAAATTCACTCATCGATACATTGATCGACAATCAACATATTATCAGTCTGCCCATTTATCGTCAAGTAATGTACAAAACATATTTTAAACGTGCACAATAATAAAATAATGTGATTTAGTTTGTATTTAATTTTTTGTGCTGTGAAAATAAATTTTATGCAGTGTGTTACATCATATTATATTATTAAAAAAAAAATAATAGTTGTAGTATTGTGTTTAAATAAGTGAAATAAACTCACCTCCTTCGCCAACGACCAATAATGAAACACATTATTTAAAAAATATAAACATTATGTTAAATAATAATAGTTGTCAAATTCCAAATATTATATACCATGGTCAACAAAATATAAAATATACATATGAAGTATTTATTAAAAAACAAATACTTAGCAACCGACATTTATTATTACTAAATGCAATCAATTTTTATAAAATATTGTCATTACTTCATATTGCTACACTTGGTCAAAAATGCTAAATACACCTTAGGGAACCAAACATTTAAAATTTCAAAATTCAGTTTTTAAAATTTCCTTTATTCATTTATCGCGTGGTTGTATGATATAACTTGGTATTTGCTAAAAATCTTACAAACATTGCCATGGCTCTTAATAACCAAAATTCCATTCATTATTACATTGTTCAACAATTAACATATTATCAGTCTGTCCATTTATCGTCAAGTACCTAATGTACAAACATATTTTAAATGTGCACAATATTTAAATAATGTAATTTAGTTTGAATTTAACTACATTTTATGCAGTGTAATATCATATTATATTATTAAAAAAAAAGAATAATGTGTTTAAATAAGTAAAATAAACGCCCGTTTTACGCTAACGACCATACCACGTTGAATACACCAGTTCTCGTCCGATCACTGAAGTTAAGCAACGTCGGGCGTAGTTAGTACTTGGATGGGTGACCGCTTGGGAACACTACGTGCCGTTGGCTTTTTTTTGCTTTTACTACTGTACACCATTTTTTTGTTGTGTTGTATGAACTTAAATTGTACGTCCACAGGCGGATAAGCTAAATTTTTGTTACCGGGAAAGTTTATTATGAAAACAGCTCTAAGCTGTTATTACTATCATCCACTTTTAGTACATATTTTTTTGTTAACATTTTTTTGGTTGAAAATTTAAAAATGTATTTCATGTTAAAATACATAATATAATTGAACACATTATTTATAAAATATAAACATACCTACATTTGTATAAATGTTATGTTAAATAATAATAATTCAAAGAATAACGCAGTTGGGTATTGTTGTTCCAGTATCTAACATTGTATCTAGTAGTTACACATACATGATAATTGCTCATTCCGCCATTCCATAAAGTTCAAAAAGTATGAAATAAGGTTTTAAAACTTTTTACTAAGCTTTACAGTTTTAATTTTTTTTAGAGAACTATTTAGAGCACAATATTGGGAAACATTTTTTTTTTTGGCGTTGTACAAATATCTAAATATTTAATACTTCTCAGCAGCTGAAAAAAATATACTAGGTGTTACTGACTATAGCTTAAAATTATAAGTTTGTTTCGAAAAAATTGTCAACTTCTGATTTATTATAGTCTTTGTATTTTTATTATGAAAATTTATATCAATAAGATTACACACGAAAACCAAACAAAATTGAATTGCGCGACTTTTTAAATTGTTATTTCTATTTAATTAAAAATGCCTTTCGAGTCTATAATAAAACGAACGAATAAATATTTTATATTTGAAATTAATTTGTTAAAGTCGGTTTTTTAGTAAAAATAAAATATTATAACAAGAACAAACATAATAGATATGGAAAATGCAATTGAATGGGTCAATTTGTTTTCCTCGATATCAAATACAAATTGGATTGTCAGTTTTGAACTCACTGAATCACTGAATTTTGTTAAGAACAAAAGTGTTCGATTTGATGTAATTAAAAATTTAATAGAAAACGGTTGGTTTTTTTTAAGATTTTATATTTTAAAATAATATTAAACAAATAATCTTTAAATATATCAATATATATTTTACATTTCAAAAAATCTGTACCAAAGTGGCCCTTTTAATAGAAGATCTAGACGATTTTATAAGATTCTATGTTAATTAATATCAAATAGCTGTTAATTTTAAAATCTCCTTTCAGCTTGAGAATTTGATTGTAGTTATATGTATAAAAATACACACACGTGTATCCTATAATTATA